TCATGATTACAGCTGTAATCAAACTTTGGAATCACGATTACAAGTAATTGATTACTGTAATCAATATTGTAATCATGATTACAGCTGTAATCAAAATTTTTGAAAATTGTAATCATGATTACAAGTAATTGATTACTGTAATCAAAAAATGTAATCGATTACATTTTTGGCCAACTTGGAAGTCGCATTAGAAGTTTCACTTCAGTAAAAAAAAGTTTATATAATAATTTCATCGCGTTCAATCATTAAGAAAAATTAAATAAAAGAAAGAAACAACAAACGGTTTGAAAATTGCTATTTTTTTGTCCTGAAAAGTCTCTATACCCTTTTTTAGAAGAAACAAGAATAAGTAAAGGGAAATTAATTCTTAAGAAAGGGAAGAAACTGACCATTTCCGACGCATGCGCATATATATTAACACAACACTGCCTATATACAAAAAGTTGTCTTGCCTATATACAAAAAGTTGTCATCTGGATGAGACAGGTTCAAACTCATCACTCTTTGCTGTCTTAAGTTAATTGTACTAGATTTTATAATTCTGATTGTTTTAAAAATTCATCAACGCGTTTGAATAATTTTTAATGTACGCAGAAGATTTCTTTCTTGCCTGATTTTAGCAAATTTTAATCTAAGTTTCTTGACTCGTAAGTGTCTTGATTTAACTAAGCACATACAAATTCACAAGCATAATTTTTATATGTCCTACGTACAATGAGTCATGCATAACCTGACACTTTTTTTTTCTATTGAAGTTTTAATAATAACTTCTTTATTTTTATTATTAAATTATTTTATAATAATTATTGAAAATACCACTATATTCAATAAATATTGGATTTAACTCATTTCCAGTCAATACTGCATATATATTCTGGAATATGTTTTTCTTCTTTTTTTCCCCATACACTATTTTCAAATATTTATATATTTAGCATTCATTTTAATATGCTGTTGAAATTTCTTATCAAATGGAGAATGCTATTTTTAGCATTATAATTATTTATTATTATAATTATTTATTATTATATTATTATTATTTGTTTATCTGACATTTGATCAATTAATCATATGTTTGTGAATGTTTTATTATATTTTTCAGGTGTTTTTCTTTTTAAACCCTTCAATTATTTGCACTTTTTGTAGAAAACTTTTGTATCTTTGGATTTTTCAAATTTATTCAATTCTCTGCTACTTACAAGCAGTCATTAAAAAATGACATACTTTTAGTAGTTTTTTTTAAATTTAATTTTCACTCCTATTATTAAAAATTAAATCACTAGTTTTAAAGATAAAAACTTTACTTAACAAAATAAAGATGTTAATTTGAATTGTTTTAACTTTTAGATGATACCTAAATCTTGATAAACTCATAACTTTTGATTATAATTAAAAAACTTTACTTAGCAAAATAAGGATGTTAATTTGAATTGTTTCAACTTTTATATGATACCTAAATCTTGATGAACTCATAACTTTTAATAATAATTAGTAATTAGATGTGGGGATATTTCTGTATCAAAACCTGTAAACTTCTACTACATTTTAGTATTTGCAAAAATATAAAGAACTTGTGCTATGTTTGGAAATGGCTGTGAATTTTTCAAAATTGACCATTTTTTTTAAAAGTTTCTTGTAAGCCATTGCCCAGTTGTTGCAGTAGCTTGGCGGTTATTTTTGTGCAGGTACCGATACAGAATTTGTCTCCTAGATGAGTTTTTACATATTTAACTTATAAGTAATGTGAATTTGTGAAAGATTTTATAAAGAGCCGTGATGGCTCAGGGGATAGAGCGTTTGCGTTCCAATGCGACGAGCTGGATTCGAATCCCAGTCGGTATGAATTCCGCTTCCGGCTTGCACCAACCACAGTGCTGACGTGAAATATCCTCAGTGATAGACAGATCATGGATTAAAGTTCCCTTGCTGCCAGGCTAACCGTGGGGGGTTCTCGTGGTCTTCTTCTCCATGCGTTGCAAATTCGAGTTAGCTCCATCAAAAAGTCCTCCACGAAGGCAAATTTCTCCCGATACTTGATCCAGGAGTTCCCTTGTCATCTGGATTGGGTTCAAAATTACAAGGCTACGGAGAAGAACAGTAGTAGTCATAAACCCATAAAATTGGGTCGGCTGTTCAGCTACGGTTATACAGTCAATTCGCTATAACTCGAAGTACGATAACTCGAATATTACTATAACTCGATTTTTTTATGACCTTCTCCTATATGTGGCT